ATATTATTTTTTTTATATGGAGGGATCTGTTTACTCTAAGAGAAAGTCTACCTAGACTTATTTTGTTTAATAATTCATGTTCTATATCAAATTTCAATGACCTAACTATTGAATTTAAAGTTCTTAATGCATAAATCAAATCTACAAATTTTTAAAAAAAAATTGAAAATCATTTTATACTTCATTTCAGTAATTCAAATCAATGTATAAATGGAGTAGACTTACTCCTGAAATAAACGGATCTCTCCTCATATATATATATATATATATATATGATGATAGTTCAAATGACATTAGTGTAACTTTTATTAATTATTACATCATTCGATAAATTTCAATTAAATATGAATTTTTTTTATTGAAAGTTTCTTACTCTTAGAATACATGAAAAAAATTGTATTAATCCAAAATAATTTGATATTTCATTCATGTAAAATAAACTTAATGTAATATATACATCAAAATATACTAAATTATGAATATTTTGATTACTTTCAAATTATTATTTAATTTTAACAAAAAATTAATATAAATATATAAGATAATATGAAGTTATGATTTAACAGTTGAAGTGATAAAATTCACATTTTGTTTAAAGTTATTAAGCATTGTAATGGTTGATAAAAATTATATCGATATGATTTGAATCCATATGTATATATATATATATAAATTCACTTAATATTTTTATAATTAAAATAAAAATATAATATTTTTATAATTAAAATAAAAATATTTTATAAAGAAATGTTAACATATCTTTTCTAATACTTTATTTCAAATAATTTTAATTTTTTTTATAATATTATAATTATTGATAATTAATCAATATTAAAAAAATTAAGTAATTATTTTTAATAGAAGATTTTTTTTTTCATTACATTTTTTTTATAATAAAATTCAAACCGTAAACTTACTCAAGAATACTATTTCTTTACAAGCCATTTTTATTTCCTTTCGCTCCATGTCTACATTTATGCTCAAACAGGGGTAAACGACAGCGTATCATGAGACATGAAGTGGAGAACCCTTCATAGACAAAAAATATATATAAATAAAGAAATAAAGAAATCATACATAGTTGGGTTTGATCCAATGGCTGAGAGCTACTCAAGCTATTGTAGTTCCCTTAAACCCATTGCAATAGAAGTTCACTAGGGTTTTAGCACCGCTGCACATAACAAAGAACAACAAAGGCATGCACTATTTCATCATTTCCTTATGAATTCATTCCTTTGTTTGATGCAAAAACAACAAAATCTCATTTATTTATTTATTTGTTTTTGGGTTGTCACAAACCCAAATTTTAATGATTTCGATTTTTTTAATGTCGGTTCATTAATATTTCCTTCAGGGTTGCGTGGAGAATTTGGTGTATTGTTGGCGTTTAAGGTATAGATTAGTTTTTCAAATTTTATGTGTATATGTTATGATTTAAATGTAGCTTAATTTTTTTATGGTTTCTCTCAGGTTCCAGGAATGGCTTTCTTTGGTAGAGTTGGGAACATACTGAGACAAACAACTAATAGGAAGATCAATTCAGAGTTTTGTTCATCCCGATCTGTTTTCCAGGCTATTCGGTGCATGTCTAATGTTCCTCCCAATTCAAAGCTGTATATCGGAGGTGCATTAGAGCTAATATTCACTCTGTTTTCATCAATCAATTGCTTTGTTCATGTCTTTTCTTTGTTCTTTAGGTGATGATCATAATGATTGAGAATGAATATGTTTATCTGTACTGTGGCAGGTGTTTCATATTCTATTGATGAGCAAAGCTTTCGTGAAATTTGTTCAAAATACGGGCAAGTTGTTGATGGTAAATTGTCAGATTCTCTTTGGGGGTTTGGTTGTTTTCAGTGAAATCCTATTGGAGTCATTTGTGTTAATGTTTGCCAGAATTAATTGATGTTTAATCTCATATTTTTGTAGCAAGGATAGTTATGGATCGCGAAACTGGTAGGCCCAGAGGATTTGGTTTTGTCACTTACAGTACAGTTGAGGAGGCATCAAGTGCCATTCAGGCCTTGGATGGACAGGTAAAACAGATTGTCACTCTTAGTGTTAGAATTTTGTTATTAGCAATGACAGTACTGTGCAGAATTATTATATATACATAAATGTGTGATGATGCTACTTAAGCCATTGAATCTGTGGAAGCCTGTGTTTGTACTTTGGCATAAATTTTTTGTACTTCTTTGACAGTCAGTGCTATGTGTGAATTTGTTGAGCGTTTCATATATTTCTTTTTGGTTCCTTTGTGGTTGGTGATTAAACATATCTATGTTTTGGATTATGTTAGCTCTTAGGTGATCACTTATTTATGTGACTGCCACTGTGACTATCACTGTTGGTATGAGTCACAACTCTCATCGACAACAACAATGACAACCAAGCCTTTTCCCATTAGGTGAGATCAGTTACATAGATTAAACAATGCAGTAATGATTTGTTGTAAATCATGTCTGTAGACAAATTATTGATTAAAATGACTGACAGTTATCAGAAAATAGTGTTGTGTCATTATTTTACAGTGAGGTTGAGTGTAATTAAATAGCTAATCACTGCAAAACTCATGGAAAAAGGGAACATCCTGGCAGCTAACTGCTATTGATGTTTCTTCATTTGATAGGCATATGCAGTTAAAATGTATTTGGGGTGTCACATATAATAGATCTACCTGTTGCATTTTATATGTAAAAAATTCCAGTAACTTATCTGATATGTAAGCTAGTTTTTAACTTAACATCCATCCGTCATTGTGACTTCTTGTTAATTTAGTTGTACAAATATAATTAATGACTAATGATATCATTGTTACCTTTCCTTTTTTTCACTTCTTTCTTAGTGTAAATGTATTTTGTTTTTCAGGATCTGTTGTATTTTAATTTATAATTTTTCAGTAGCTTATCTGGTGTAAGCTAGTTTATAACTTCACCACTGGTGCTTAATATCTTGTAACTTCATTCTTTTCACTTCTTCATTGACACTTCATGATAAATTTTTTTTTTTTCTATTTAATGATGGACAAAACTTCTGTTACCTTTTTGTTTTACTTTGTTCTGAGTCTAAAGCTTCTCTCAGGATCTGCATGGTCGCCGGATCAAGGTAAATTTTGCTGCTGAAAGACCTCGTGGATTTGGTGGTGGTGGTTTTGATGGATCTTATGGCAGTACTCCCTATGGTGCTGGAGCTGGCACCAGTTATCCAGGTAGTTATGGAAACTCTCCATATGGCACTGCTACAAGTGGTGGTGGTTATGATAATACAGGTGGTGGCAATGCTGCTGGAGGTTATGGCAGTAGTGGATATGATGGAGGTGGCAATTTTGGGGGCAGCAGATTTGGCAATAACTACGGTGATGCTGGTGCCTATGGTAGCAATGCTGCTGGAGGTTATGGAAGTGGTAGATATGGTGGAGGATCTGGTGGCAATGCTGGTGCCTATGGTAGCAATGCTGCTGGTGTTTATGGCAGCAGTGGATATGGTGGAGGATCAGGTGGTGATGCTGGTGCCTATGGTAGCAATGCTGCTGGAGGTTATGGCAGCGCTGGATATGGTGGTGATGCTGGTGCCTATGCCTATGGTAGCAATGCTTCTGGAGGTTATGGCAGTGGTGGATATGGTGGAGGATCTGGTGGTGATGCTGGTGCCTATGGTGTTAATGCTTCTGGAGGTTATGGCAGCAGTGGCTATGAAGGATCAGGTGGCAGTTTCGGGGACAGAAGCTCTGGCAAGAACTATGGTGATGCTAGTGCCTTTGGTGGCAATGTTGGTGGAGGTTATGGCAGTGGTGGATATGGTGGAGGACCAGGTGGTGATGCTGGTGCCTATGGTAATGCTGCTGGAGGTTATGGTGGAGGATCAGGTGGCAGTTTTGGGGACAGTGGTTCTGGCAAGAACTATGGTGATGCTGGTCCCAATGCTGCCAGGCATGGAAGCAATGGATATGGTGGAGGATCAGGTGGCAGTTTTGGGAACAGCAGTCCTGGTAAGAACTTTGGTGATGCTGCTGGTGGCAATGCTGCTGGAGGTTACAGTGGCAGTGGATATGGTGGAGAATCAAAGGGCAGCAGTTTTGGGGGAAGCAGCTATGGTGCTGGTGGTGGTTACAGTGGAAATGGAATTAATTATGGAAATGCTGGTAGCTTTCCAAGCAGTAGCACTTACAATGATGGAACAGGTAGAGGCTATGGTGGTAACGGTGAGAATTATGGTGTTGCTGTGGGTGGTGAAGGTAATACTGGTAACTTTGGTGGCACTCCAGGTAGTGGTTATGGTAGTTATGGTGCTTCTGCCGGATTTGGCAAGAGTAATAGTTATGATAGTACTGCAGGAATTGGTGGCAGAAGTAGCTATGGTAGCACTGCTGCTGGTAGCGGCGGCCAGAGTGCTGGTGGTAGTCAACGCCCTGGAAGTGCCATGATGTATGGCAATGTTGGTACAGGTACTACTAACAGTGGCTTTGGTGGTGGATATTATGGCAGCAATGGCCAATTTGCTAGCAATCAAGACAGCAGCAATGTTGGTCAACATGGTGGAGATTTTGGAGGCTCCTTTGAAGAAAATTTCAAGAACGCTGATGGTGAAAATGATGCCTTTGTTAGACGGGCTTGAAGGAATCTCAAGAGTTCCAAGGTTTTTACTGCCCTGTTGCCTACCCTTCATCTAAGTTTTGCCTTACCAGAAGTATTATCAATCATAGCAAATATAAAGCTTGGAAGAAAGAAACCTAGTCAGTCCTCTTTGTTTAATTCTTTCATTTTGTCACAAATCAGGCATTTAGATTTTGTTGCATAGTTTAAGGTGATTTTGTCGTTTGAACTGATTGAGATCTTTATTCAGCATGTAAATAAATTTATTGTTGTCACAATGTGATTTTTAGACTGGCGTAGTAATTTTGTCTCTCAACAAATCCTCCAACTTTGAGTTTAAATGCTACAGGTATATGCCTTAATTTGGAGAATGAAATGTGGTTATAATTATATGTCTTAATTTGGGGAATGGAATCTGGTTGTTTGGGAAGTTATCTTCGTGTAAGTGATGGGAACCACTAGGACTCCATGCAAATGCTACAGGTTAGGGTGCAAATTGAAGAGGAATGGTAGGTAGTAGTGCCAATGCCATCTAATATATGTTTTATGGCATGGTTTTAATAACCTCAACTTTTGTTTTGAGTACATGAGTATTAGCAATGAAACTCTTATTTTTGTTAAATAATATTAGGGTTCAAAGAACGGCATCACAGTCTAAGGCACAGAAAGTCTTTGGATTCAAATAAAGTTTAATTGACAATTTATTTAAGTAGAATTGCGAATTGTTTATTGACCTTTTAGCTGCTTATTTGACATACATTTTGTTACATCAATATTGTCATTTATATATATGTTGTACTTCATCTCTAAGAATCTAGTCACATTTTATTCAAGGGAAATGATATTTGCATAATGATATTTAATAACTAGGGTGATTTCTTTAACACAACAACTGATGTGGTATAAAATTAGTTGTTTTGTTTTTATTTGATTTAAAACAAATAGCTAGTATGGCCTAAAAGTTTACCCTGTATGATTCAAAATAATTAAGTATTTAGACCAATTAAAATGCTTCCTATATTTTTCTTTCAAATTCAAAGGAATCTGATACTAATTTATTTTTACTTATTAATGCCAATGTATTTTAGGTGTAATACACTGGTACGGGTAAGTTTACAAAAATATCGTGACTATTGATAAGAATTGAAAAGGCATCCAACCTTTAAGTGTATATTTACTTTAGTTGAAAAGGGGAGGAATAATTCTGGAAGGATCAATGTATTTTAGAGTCTTTTATTGATTGGTGATGCTAAAGTTTTAAGGGAACAAAAATTATGAGTTGCACATGAAAATGTATTTTTTTCCCCAAATTGAAAGGAAAATAGTGGATGACAGCTTTGTAGATGTAAAAGACGCAAATATTCTTATTTATATCACAATTTATTTTTTATTTCTGTTTAGGATATTTATATTTCATAAAAAAAATTACTTTCTAGACAATTAGGTAAGAGACTTTTTTTTTATCTTTTATACTAGAAGGGGTTGTGACTAAAGGATAAAGTCGAACACCTCTTGGTTCAGATCGAGGACCGAATGAATTTACGAGCAACACAAAAATATTATTAAAGATAATTAAGTGTTATTGGACTTACTATTTAAACCTAGACTCAATAAGGTTAATATAAATAATGATATGTGATGAATAAAAATATATTTTTTTGTATTTATTACAACATTAATTGTGTTGACTTATTTAAGATCAAGAACTGACTTGAGCATTGGAGTACCTTTTTCAGGTACCATCCTTTTTTCTTTTTGGACAAATGTGGTCGAAGATTACTCATTTTACTATTAAAGGCAATTATAGTGTATTTTTGATTTTTTGGGTAAAGTGCAATTGAAGCCTAGGAGAATACTAAGGATGAGGACTTAATGATAAAATTACCTTTGTATCCTTGTAAGGTACATTTTGGCGCACACTGTGGAGTCAATTTGAAGGCCCTTGTTTATTTTTTATTTTGCAAGAGGGAGAACTCTAGAAGAATGGTGACTACAAGTAAGAACATGAATTCTGCACAATTGAACATGAGTTAGGACCTATTACTATGGAAGATCAAACTAATATCTTTGATGTTGTAAGAATATTGAAGAAAGAGATGATTGTTATCCAACAAGCTCGTGAGTCTGGTGCCTAAGAGCTTTTGACACTTAGAAGGGAAAATGTCGAGTTGATGAGTCTCAACAAGACTTGGGTTCTTAGAAGTCAAACTAACAATGAAGCTTTTTTATATCATGAAACTAACAATCAAAAACTGCGCAAGTCCAAATGCCTCTAATAGAGTTTTTGATTGTTCCTGACCAAGGTCCTTTTCAATCTAGAACTTTGACTGGGACATATAAGCATCCCTTCACCTAGAGAATAATGGACATTGTGTTGTTAGATAGTTGGAGAAGTCTTCCTTTGGAGAAGTATGACGAATCCTTTAATCTAGATGAGCACTTGACTGCTTACCTAACACATATTACTGTACTTACTTAGGAGGCGCAACTTTGAGTTGTATATTTTTTACCTCTCTAAAAGCTAGAGCACTCAACTGGTTTATCAAGCTTCCCCTAGGGTTGATAAATTCTTTTGAGGAATTGGTTGCCATATTCATTGTTCAATTTGTTATTAGTTGAGCTTACCGGTTGACATCTCTAGCATTAGCCAATATAAGGCGAGAAAAGAAGGAATCTCTTTGATCTTTTATGGATCGTTCTAATAAAATTGTTATGGAGATAAAGAATTTAAATCTAGTAATGGCAATGGATAGGCTAAACACGACTCTAAAGCTAGGTCCTTTTGTGAATAGCTTATGTAAAAAAAAAACCATGTTGGATATGAATGATTTGAGAAAAAGAGTAGAAAATATATGTAGATGGAAGAATTAGCAAAATCCAGGAATCAAGTTAAGGTTGAGTGTGACACCCTTACTACCCCAACACATATATAATATAATATTATGCTAAAAATGGAATCAAAATGTTTAAAACTATTCTTGAGACACCTCAGCAAAATGGTGTTGTTGAAAGAATGAACAAGACCTTGAATGAGAGGGAAAAAAGTATGAGAATTCATGCAGGGTTACCGAAGGCATTATGGGCAGATGCAGTGAGCACAATAACATACCTCATTAATCGAGGACCCTCAGTTCCCATAGTGTTCAAGATTCCTGAGGAGGAATGGCAAAACAAGGATATAAGTCTTTCTCATGTGAAAGTATTTGGTTTGTTTCTTATGTTCGTGTTAGATATGCTGACAGGGACAAGCTTGATCCAAAAGCAAGAAAGTGCATTTTTATTGGTTATGGAGCAAATGATATGGGATATCGCTTCTAGGATGATCAAAATAGAAAGATCATTAGAAGTAGAGATGTTACTTTCAATGAAAACACAGTGTACAAGGATAGACTTGAGACAAATGCTGAAGCTGAAAAGAAACCAACAAAGAAACAAAAGATAGTGCTAGATGACATTATAGAAGATGACCTTGTAGGAAAAGGTGAGAGCTCAGGAAATAAGATAGTTGAGGAGATCACTCCAGTAATTGAAGTAAGGAGATCTAGCAGAGTTATTAGGCCTCCTTATAGATTCTCTCCTTCAACAAATTACTTGTTATTGATTGACGATGGAGAACTTCTATGTTATTATGAGGCACTGCAAAATGGATGATGTAGCCCAATGGGGACTAGCCATGTAGGAGGAGATGAACCCACTTGAGAAGAATAAAACTTGGTGTTTGACTGACCTGCCAACAGGAAAGAAGGCATTGCAGAACAAGTGGGTGTTCAGGGTCAAGGAAGAACATAATGGCAACAAGAGATACAAGGCAAGGCTAGTGATAAAAGGTTTTCAGTAGAAAAGAGGTATTGACTATAATGAGATTTTCTCTCTTATAGTTAAAATGACTACCATTAGACTCGTGTTGAGCATTGTTTCTGCAAAGGATCTACATCTAGAACAGCTAGATGTTAAGACAACATTCTTACATGGTGACCTTGATGAGAACATCTACATGGTGCAACTAGAGGGTTTCCAAATAGTAGGGAAGGAGAACTTTCTTTGTAAGTTGACCAAGAGTTTGTATGGGCTGAAGCAAGCACCAAGACAGTGGTACTTGAAGTTTGATAGTTTTATGAGTAGGAAAAGGCATAAGAAATGTGCCATGAATTAGTGTTGTTACTTGAAAATTTTCAGTCCATCCTATATCATATTACTATTATATGTTGATGACATGTTAGTTGTAGGATCTAATACGGATGAAATCAATAGATTGAAGGCACACTTAGCTGAAGAGTTTGAAATGAAGTATTTGGATGTTGCAAAGCAGATTTTGGGCATGAACATTAGTAGGAACAAATATAAAGGTTCCTTAGTATTATCTTAAGAGAAGTATATTGGGAATTTTTAGAGAAATTCAGCATGCAGGATGCCAAGATCGTAAGTACACCTTTGGGGGTTCACTTCAATCTCACAAAGGAGCATTCACCTAAGACGGATGAAGACAAGGCAGCAATGGCTAAGGTTCCTTATACATCTAGTTGGTAGCTTAATGTGTTCAAGACATTGCTCATGTAGTGGGAGTTGTTAGTAGATTCATGTATAATCCAGGAAGGAATCATTGGAAAGCTGTCAAGTGGTTGCTACGCTACTTGAAAGATACTTCTAAGATTGCATTATGTTTCAGTAAGAATGATGTTGTTTTGGAACGATATTTTGATGTAGATTTGGGAGGTTGTTCAAACATAAGGAAAAGTACTACAGGATTTGTTTTCACAGTAGGTGGCACAGTAATTAGTTGGATGTCTCAACTTCAGAAAAACATTGCACTTTCAACCACAAAAGCATAGCACATGGCTATTTTAAAAGCCGGTAAGGAAATGATTTGGTTGAAGAATTTTCTTGAAGAGTTGGGCAAGAAGTGTGTTAGCACTCTTTATACTGATAATCAGAGTGTCATTCATCTTGCAAAGAATCCTATGCTCCATGCGAAGACAAAGCACATCCAGTTGAGATACCATTTCATTAGAGAACTAATTAATGATGGTACTTTGTTCTTGAACAAGATCCCTGGGTCAGAGAATCTTACAGATATATTGACCAAGGTGGTTACTATTGAGAAGTTGAAACTTTGCATAACTTCAACTGGCCTTCATGGTTAATTGTTGAGAAGGTGTCGCACTAGCTTGGAGGTGTTACGATTTTGAGGTTTACTAGATTTATTTTGGAGTGTAGTTGATGTGATCAGCCTCCAAGTGGGAGATTGTTGCGTATGTGGAGTCTGAAGGGTCTATTGGGTTTGGCTCATTTGCTTTTTATTTATTTATTTTTTTTATAAATACTTATGTAATTGTAAACCTAATTAATGAAATAGAAAATACCATCTAGT